AAAATTTAGATCAAGAATTTGGTGATGGTAAATTTACTTGTTATCTATCTATTTTTGAAGAACAAGAAATTCTTGTTAATCAACTTGCAAGATTATCAGATTCTGAATATATTTTAATGGATGTAACAATTATTGGACGTAGGCAAATTTTACGTGATGAAGCAAAAAAATATGAATGATTTTTTGTATATATTTTGTTATAAACTTATAATATAATTTGATTAATTTCTAATAAATAAAGTTAGCAATATTATAAATAATATATTCTTAATATTTTAATTTGTAATTCTAATAATTATAAACATTATTTACAAAAAATAAAAACTATATTTTATTTTATATATAAACCGATTTTTCAAAATATTTTTTTGCCATTTCTGGTGTAATTTGAGCTAATGCAACTAAAATTAAATATATTGGATCAAAATAATCTACAAAATCTCTGTACCTTTTTAACCAAGACTTTAATGCTGAGAAGGCTGTTTCAATAGGATTAAAATCTGGTGAATAGGGAGGCAAATAAAGTACTCTACCACCAATTTCTTCTACTGCTGCAACTAAATCATCATTATGATGTATACATGCATTATCTATAACCAATACACTATGTTTAGCTGGATATGGATTCATTTGAGGTAACTTAATTTAAAATAAATAATAATATTAATAAAAAAATTCAATTAATTTAATTATAAAAATAATATAATAAAATATTTACCAATTGTGTTAAAATAAAAGTTTGGAATCTTTCCTTATCACAACTTCCTTCCATAATATCAACAGCAATAAAACCTTCTAAAGACAATGCAGGTAAAATCGTATAACGCTTTCCTCTAATAAAAACAACACTTTTTTCTACTCTAGTATTAACAGGAGAGTAACCATATAACCTGGTGAGTGTTCTCTCATCCTTTGAAAATTCATCAATAAAAATTAATTGTTCAGCAGTATAATTCATTCCAATATTATACAAATAAACACCACGTAATATCTCACTTCTTTCTTTAGCTGCTTTTTGTATTTTCTTTCTAGTTATACCGCAAAATTGAAGAGAACGCCATAATGTTGGCACAGAAACTAATTTTCCTGTTCTCTGTTCCATTTCATGTACCAACTCATCAAGATACCAATCTATTTTATCTTTAACCAAACTTTTTAACGCCTATAAATTTGTAAACTTTGTTAAATAATTATTATAAAATAATAAATCACAAAAGAGTAACCATCTAAATTTCTTACCGACATATCTTGTGTTGTAAAAATTTTTCTTCTTCCCACTCTACAAATAAATGGGTCCTTTACACATCCCCAGTTTTTAAAAATCCTACAGACTTTATTGACAGTAGCCTCGCTAACATACATTCTTTTAGCAATTTCATTTTGTGTAAAGCCTTCAGCCTGACAATAAATAATACGCCACCTTAAATCTTCGCTTAAACTTTTTACCATCTTGGTCTAAAATTGTTTTAGTAAGAATTAGTATACTTGAAAACTTAGACGTGAATAACTAAAATACTTACATTTTATAGAGTTTTTTGTGAATTTGCGAAATCCGGTTTAGTAAGGGTTAGTATTTTTGAGAATTCGAAGGAAAAAAATACTCATATAGTTATAAAACTTAGACTTTAGTAACTAAAAGTCTTATAGTCTAAAAATATAAAAGGAATTCGCAATATTTGTTTTAAATTTTAAAAGGAGTTCGCAAAAAATTGTGAAATTCGTGACATTTTGTAATATATTGTCACGTGATGTAGATCGCATAATTATGAAAACGGCGATAAGTTTAAAAATTCCGTATACATTCCGCATTATTGATTTTTTCCGTATTTGTATACGGAATCTATAGAAACGTACATAAAATGTATACAAAACGTATCCATTCCATATACAGATTTCTTATAGGAAATGAGTTAGAGTTATGAAAGTGTGAAATTTTGTCTATTTTAATATGAAGTTTTATGAATTATAGTGATCGTCAAAAAAATCTCTGATAGTAATTTTTTATATGGTACTTTACCTATTTTGATTTAATTATTTGATGGTACACCCTAATGAATCATGTAAAAACTTTTTTCTATTTTTATTATATTGTAATACAATTATTAAATAAAATAAAAGATATAAAATTAAATTATTTCACACAAAACATTTTTCTTTTTTCCATTCATTGATCATCAAATTCTTTTTCCACTTTCATTTCTTTTTTTGTGAGCCATTTTCTTTAACAACTTTTCAAAATTTTCCATATTTCCAATTTAATGGCAACCTATTTCTTGTGAAAAAAAAACTTTTTAACTATTTTATCATATTTTTTTGTGAATTGTTTCATTTTAGCTATATTTCTTTTTTCTCTTTAAAAAAAAGCCAACCCGAAAAAGATAAAGTGAAAAAAAAAAATAAAATAAATCAAAAAAATCAACGTTCTGCTGCGGCTGATAGCTAATCACATGGTGATTGATAATTTCATTAACCGGAATTGGAACGTACACGTTACAGTCATTACACTCGTTACAGTGTCGTTACACGATTGTCTTTACCACCTCAACAAACCGCAGCACCTTTTGGTGTATTAGGAACAGGTGTAAAATATTCAAATGTAAAGATTTATTTACTGTATACTGGTAAATGTATTTATTTAATTATTTATTTGTTGTAATATTTTTTTTTTTTAAGAGTAATAACTGATTTATTAATATGATAGAGAACATAAAATAAATTAGTTTGGAATAAATCCTCCCTTCTTACCCGCCTTCTCCTGTAACTGTATCTAATTATACCTTTTCGTCTCCTAAGAGAAAGAGTAGCGAGTTTCCTCTATTCTAAAACTAATCT